AGTTTTACTCACTCTAGATTAGACCTGGACAAACTAAGGCCCGCGGGCCAGATACGGCCACTGGGACCACCAAACACTGGTAACAGATGATGTCTGATGAAGACTGATGTCAATACTTCTGTTTGATACAATGGAACAAATTAATTGCAATTGCAGTTGACGCCACTAGATGGCGGCAGACATCAAACGTGCCAAACTATCTTACTATAAATAGAGGTTTCAGTTTATTCTTGTGCATTTTGTTCACATTATTTCTACATGTGACCAGTACAGAGCCAGCCCACAGGTCAGATTCACAGGTCAGGTTTAGGTTAATGATAATTAACTAGTGACCAGTTCAAAGTGTTACCTTGTATTTCTGCCGTTTTCTGCCACTGTTTGCTCTGCTGCTCAAACTCCAACTGCAGGTTCTTCACGTCGTGCTCATATTTACTGGCCGTCTGACGCCACTTGTCCAGATCAGAGGAGGCGTTTGCCAGGTCGGCCTGCAGGGCGCTAACGTCGCGTTCCCGATCTGCAGCAGCTGATTTCAGGGCGTGTTTCAGTGATGTAATCTCGTCACGTGCGCTGTTGTAAGCGTCCACTTCATCCTGGAGCTGCTGCAGCTGACCTGGTCGATGGAACACTTTACTCAGACTCCAGAATTACAATTTAACAACAAAAAAAAACAAAAACAAATTGAAATGTTGTCATAAAACCTTGAAAAAAAAACAAAAACGAATTGAAATGTTGTCATAAAACCTTGAAGATGTTGGATCTGTTTGGCAGATTCCTCCACCTGCTGCCTGTTGTCTTTCCTCTCCTCTTCCAGGAGACCTGAGGAGTAGAAGTGCATCACAGGTGAGGAACAGCGCCCCCTGTCTGAGGGACTAACAGGAGGATGTGAGGAGACGTTACCCTTTAGCTCCACGTTCTTCTGCCGTTCTGTATCTGCACGCTCCTGGGCCTCTTGAAGTTCTTCATTCAAGCGCTGGATCATTTTCTCTGTGTCATCAGATGAACCCATGTTTGAGCTCCTTAGATCATCTGCAGGAAAAGATGAAGCATGAAAGACAGATGTTGATGGAGCAGCACTAGGACCATCCATCCAACCATCCATCCATCCATCCATCCATCTGTGGATCACTTGTTGTGATCTGAACTGCTTCAACTCCCAGCATGCGTCCTTGGGTGCTTCAACCTCTGGTCTGCAGCCCCTGACTGAGATCAGGAGAGTCAGTCGGACACAACAGTCAGAAGGATTGTTCAGGATGGATCAATATGACTGTATGTTCAGGGGTAATTAATAATCATTTGGGGATTAACCAAGATTAATCAGGATTATTCCAGACACCCTTCAACTAATCTGATTAATCACGATTAATCGTTTGACAGCCCCAGGAACAGGATGAAAATGTCACAGTGTTGAAACCCAGCAGCTGCTGACGTTGTTCAACCCGTGGATCTAGGACAGCTCAGTCACCAGTGTGGATCTCCCTTGATAATAAAACTGAAGTTATTACAGGAACTCATTTCAGATCCAGATTTAGACCCAACACTCTTCAGCCAGAGGTTGATTCACTCTGTGGACCCAGGAGACCGACCAGGGTTCTGTCCGTTTCCAGGAGGAGAAAAACAAGCTCCACAAATATTTTGGCTCCAAAATGCCCAGCAGATTTAATCCCCTAATCTACCGTGTCTAGGAAAAAAAGATGACCTCATCCCATTCCCAGCGTTTGGCAGAGAAGACAACAAGAGCCGGCAGCGTCAAACATGAGCACCATAAAAGGACACACACAACAGAGGCTGCTTTGAATTCCACTGTTTGTTTTAAGAAAGGGATCTCCTGGTCCTCACACACACACACACACACACACACACTTGTGTGTCTCATGGATGGATGAATGGACAGTCTACAGTGGGTGTGCACTGGCCGGAGGCCGCTGACACCCTCTGACTCCATCACATGACCACGCTGCTGTGTGCCAGGCAAAGAATGGACAGGCATGTGTGTGTGTGTGTGTGTGTGTGTGTGTGTGTGTGTCCTGGGCATGCATATGTATGAGGCTGCATCAGAATGTGAGTGGGCTCCCAGTGAGGTGAACAATCTGAGAGCAGTTTCTGAGAGAACGTCCCAGTAGAAGAAGACCATCAGGTACCATCGGTTCTACCATCGGTTCTACCATCGGTTCTACCATCGGTTACTGCAACTGTTACGGCTTCGTGTCACAGAATAACACCTGACCAGGCAATAATGGGATTAGTCCCAGGACAAAAATACCCCCAGGGTAGCTGGTTGGTGACAGCAGATCACACTCATCACCTCAAGGGACGACAGGAGGAAGTGGTCGTCAGTGATTTTATTACCATTACAGTACAGACAGAGTGTCTGTGACGACTGTTACCTCCAGTGAAAAGACCTCTGTGTGACTGAAGACAGAGGAAGTGCAGTGTTTCTTTAATAACATGAAAGAGCTCATACAGAATTCATGGCTGGGGCTCGCAGCCGTGCTGAGGTCACAGGGCATCTTTATATAACCTGCCCTGCACTTACTTCATTAGGACTTTATTTTTAGCCAAGCATACACTCAGATGATTGACTGTAGAAAAAAAACCTCCTGGTAACAATGACACAACAGAAATCAAACTCTCAAACGAGGACACCTACAGCCGGACAGGAGCCACAGACCCACAGACAGCAACTGACCTCACTCACTGTAAGTCAGTCAGAAACAGATGTTGTCACTGGAACCTCAGTACAAATAATTTAAACTACCTGACACTGACAAATTATTAAGAAATATAAAGAGTCTAAATATCATTTATAAATGTGTCAACATTAGTGTCGATCTGACAGGACTTTTTTGTCAAGTCATGTCCTGAAGCGCTGACTTTGACAACGCGGTAAATAATACCTTCGATAGATATTAATAACTACAGTCAATGAATTAATGATAAAGTACTAATAAAGTATAACAGTGATAAAGTAAAGACGACGTCACTGTCAGTCAGGGGTAAATAACTTGATTACTTTTCAAAAGTGCACATTCATCCACAAACAGAGGAGAATTGTTTTTAGTGACGATCTTTTTTTTTTAATCTCATATGGATCAGAGCTAATGAGCTACAGCAGGTCAGGAATCAAACTCAGCTCAGCATCTTACCTTCTGTAGAGCCAGCAGCAGATGTGTTCTCTGTGATCTGAGGCTACAGCAGTGCCTGACATGAAGATGAGAAATGGAACAGTCCAAGCAGTGAGGG